AGAGACCATCTGCCTTGTTCACTGCCTGTCATGAATATATAGATATTTCCAGAGTTACTTGACATGTAATGAAACTGTCACTCATGATTAGTAGAAGGCTTGGGCTTCTGTTGTAACATTTTCTGTTTTAATTCCTAATACCTTAAATTGCCTAAATTAATACAAGTTTAGCTGTTATTATAATTTGGTCTTAAGATCAAGGACTGAAAACTGGTAAGAAATTCTGTAACAAAATCCATTGACCGGTCCCCACTCCACTGATGCAAAGACACCCACAAGTCATAACTGATTAGGATTACGAAAAACATAATTTACAGTATGCACTCTGTGTTTGGGGAAACAGGCACAGTGAGGAAGGTGCTTAGTACATGGAGAGGTTTATAGTCAGTTTCTACTAGCATCAGCCACACAATGTATGGGATCTATTATAAGATGAAAATGCAGACCTTTCTGCTACACAGACACCAGAAATGTCTAGGGCAATTGTCAAGCTCTGAAGTCACTCAGGACTCTCCTGAATGAGCAAGTCCATTGAGACATAGGAGACCAGCCCATGTGGCTCCAAGCCACCCATCCTAACCACCATTCTCTACTGCCTTCCTCTGGTTTTTACAGTGGCTATTCCTGTTCCTTCTTTCTCTTTCAAGCTATGCTTCGATCCTTTCCTGCTTTCTGTTCTCATCTACTTCCCACACTTAATTTTACTTTGGATTTGGGTTTTTTTTTTTGGTTTTGTTTGTTTGTACGGGTATTTTTGTTGTTGTTTTGGAACAAGGTCTTGTTATATAAGACCGGGCTGACCTGGAGCTCCTGGCAATCCTTTTGCCTTAGCCTACCAAATACTAGGATTCCACCATGCTGACCTACAAACTTTATGTTGCCACTCCTCAATGAAGAGTAGTAGATTCTGGCTGCAACCCCTGCTTTTCTTCCCGCGCTACTGACTTCTAAGGAAACTGTACTTCTTCACAGTGATAGCATTATAACTCAGAATGGCATTCCCAGCTATGATCTCTCTCTCTCTCTCTCTCTCTCTCTCTCTCTCTCTCTCTCTATCTCTATCTCTTTTTCTTTCTCTCTCTATCTCTATCTCCCTCCCCCCCTCTCCTCTCCTTTCCTCTCCTCTCCCTTCCCTGCCCTTCTCCTTTTCCCCCTTCCCCTCCCCCCTCACTGAAAATAGATTTTTTTTCCATACAGTTATATTTGGATGATGTTTTCCCTTCTTCAGCTTCTTCCCTACTTCCCTTCCCACCCAGATCCACACCCTTTCTGTCTCTCCTTAGAAAACAAATAGGCTCAGTGAGCCAGCCCAAGTTATGAGCCTGGGAGAACTGTCCCACTACTCATCTGTCATGTGGCAGATGGACAAGGGAGAAATGCCCTCACCCATCAACAAGGCAGGTGGGAGAGCTGGCTCTGAGGTCATAAAAGTGGGAGAGCTGTTCCTACCCCTCATCAACTGTAGCACTCGAAAGAATGGCCCCTACATCAAGCCTGGGCAACACAGTAGAGCTGGCCCTTGTTGTAGTTGTGGGAGAACTGACCCTGAGGATGTGAAAGTGGGAGAACTGGCCCTACTACTTGTTTATGAGTTGGCTCACCCCAACATCCACCTCATCTGTGATCTACAGGAGCACATGAAAGGGCCCGTCCTGCAGACCCAAAGCTTCAGAATCTTATCCAAGGGGAGTCCCAGTGAGGGCCCAGCATTGATAGTATAACAGAAATAAGAGGCCTCAAACCAAACCAATGACTTTGCAATGAACACTTGCAAGTAAAGATACATGGACAAAAGGGTTTATCATGTGACTCACTGTGTCACACTACAGGTTCCATGATGAGATAGATTTTTCTTCTTTTCATTCTCTTAAATTTTATTTTATTTTATTCGGCGGGGTTGAAAGGGTAGAGGGATGATACGATGGGACAAGGAAATGAATGGGATGTATATACATGATGTGAAATACACGTAGAATAAATAAAAAAGGAAGTTAAAAAATAGGCATCTAAGGAATAATAATAAAATATGATGATAAAACAAAAGCAAAAATGTGGAATAAGACAAAATAATCAAATAGAAAAGGAGTAAAAAAAAAAAGGCACAAAAACACATATAGACACAGAGACACACACAGGAATCTCAAAGAAACACAAAACCAGAAGCCATAATCTATACACAAAGGAACTTTAAGAGAAAAAAGAAAAAGAAAAATACCCTGGTATGGCATTATGAGACAGAGAACTTCAAAAGATGCTGTTGAGGTCATGGACATGAGGCCTACCCTTAAGAGTAGTTTGTTTCTCCAGTGAAACTCCCTTGGGAAAAAACCTAATTTTCATTTGCAGATAGTTCTCAGTTGGCACTAGCTTCTTCTGGGTTAGGTCAGAGCATGTGTCTACTTTTCCTCTTAGCTCTAGGACCCCATCTGGTGCAGACCCTAGTAGGCCCTGTGCGTACTGCCTCAGTCCCTGAGTTCATAAGTGTTTTTTGGTACTGTTATGTTTAGGAGGCCTTGCTTCCTTGGTATTCTCCATCCCCTCTGGCTCTTAAACTCTTCTGTTTCCTCTTCTGCCTAGTTGCAAGTAGGGGAGGAGGGATTTGATGGAGGCATCTGGTTTGGGGCTGAGTGTTCCAAGGTCTATCATTTTTTGCATATTGTCTCTGTGGATCTCTGTATTTGTTCCCATCTGCTGCAAGAGGAAGTTTCTCAGGCTATTTTAGAATCAACACAGTCCAAGTACTTTGGTGTTTTTCTCTAAACAGCACTAAACCAGCACTACTTTTAACTAGAGAAAAGTGGTAAGCTAATTTCGGGAGCCAGTGGATGTGTAACTACTGTGTAATGTAGCCTGTAAGAAACTGAAATCACTTCTGCACCAAGTCCATGGAGCAAATATCATTCAGTCCTAATGTAATGCATAAAGTTCTAAAAGAGAACAGTCCTTATTTCCTTCAACCTTCTTTTATTTCAGTGTTAGATATGTAGGTACAATTGATTTTAGTTTCTAGGTGTGCTTAAACCTTGCTGTTCACATACTTCTGGGAAGTGTGACATTAAGGGCTTTCCTCATGTGTGAACATCACAGTTGTCCTTTCACAACTTAGAGACAACTTAGCCCACTATAAACTAGGCCAGATGTTACAACTACCATTTTGTGTTTTCTGTCCTTGATGAAAATGCTAAACAGTGTATGTATTAAGAAGGGCTAGGCCGGGCGTTGGTGGTACACACCTTTAATCCCAGCACTCAGGAGGCAGAAGCAGGCGGATCTCTGTGAGTTCAAGCCAGCCTGGTCTCCAGAGTGAGTGCCAGGATAGGCTCCAAAGCTACACAGAGAAACCCTGTCTGGGGGGGGGGACAAAAAAGGGGGGGCTAGTGGTGGTAATACCTGCCTTTAATCCCAGAACTTGGGAGGCAGAGGCAGGTGAATCTGTGAGTTCTAAGCTAGCCTGGTCTACAAAGCGAATTCCAGGACAGCAAGGACTGTTACACTGAGAAGCCCTGCCTCAAACCCCCCCCCCCAAAAAAAATCCTCACAAAGACTGGTCAGTGGTAGGAAATGCAGCCATCCCACAGAAAGGCTAACATCCTCCCACATGAAAGCACACTGGACAAGCAGAACATGGTCATCTCACTGTTCTGTCTGACTGGCTTGAGCTAATCTTTAAGAAGAGCTAAGAAAATAAAGAGGGGAATCCTGAGTTTAATCATTTTATTAGAACCAGTTAAGTAAAGGTTAAATTGTTTCCTTCTTAAAACCAAGTCAGTACAAATTTTTTTTTTAATAAAATAAGGTCAACTTAGTGTAACTTAGAATACAACAAAAGACAGCACAATGAGAAAGGACCAAAACAAACACAAAAAGTAAACCAAAATAGAGTCATCATAGTGGATATTAAAAGTATATATTTAGAGAACTAATGAAGAGTTTTATGAAACAATTACAGACATACTATGAGCCAGTTAACAAAATTAACACCTAAAAATGAAAAATACTGCTATTAAAAATGAAAGAGGGGTCAGGCAGAGGTGGCACACACCTTTAATCCCAGGACTCTGGAGACAGAGGCAGGTGGATCTCTGTGAGTTTGAGACCAGCCTGGTCTACAAGAGCAAGTTCCAGGACAGCCTCCAAAGCCACAGACAAACCCTGCCTCGATAAACCAAAAAAAAGAAAGAAAGAAAGAAAGAAAGAAAGAAAGAAAGAAAGAAAGAAAGAAAGAAAGAAAGAAAGAAAGAAAGGAAAGGAAGGAAGAGTGATGCTATGGTTGAGGCTGATATAGAACTAGCAGAAACTAGGCGTGGAATCTCTAACATGTCTAGGAGTTGATGCAGAGGGAGATAAAACCCTAGCAGGAACACCAGCTAATGTTTTAGAGATAATGAATCAAGTTCCAAACTGAGCTGTTTGAACAGTAGCATTTAGAGAGACTCTGAATAGCACAGCTTTACCTAATGTTGACAGAGACACATGTGTACTCAAGGGGTACTATGTGAGAGACAGCCTGTGGAAACTCAAGTGGCTTACCTATAAAAAGTGACCAAAAATAGAATCTCAATAAATCACTACAAACTAGATACAAAACCACACTCGTTCATCACAACACATTAATACTAGAAATCCACAGTTAAATAAGATTCTAAATCCTATTAATGGAAACTGAAGTTCTTACATGTGAAACTACTTTTAAATAATTTATGGCTTAAAGAGATAAACAAGATTGAAACTGCAAAATAATACCAAATGATCAAAGCATTAACTTTCAGAAAGAACCACACTGTACCTCCCTTAAAAAGTCATAGCCCAATCTGCATTTATTGAAGTTTGGAAACAACCTTGGCCTTCAGTTTTGAAAGCTGGGGGGAATAAACAGATAAAACCACTGAAATACAGGTAATTAATGGAAGAAAACGAAGGGAATGAAGCGGGAGCAAAGACAGAAAGTGTAAGCAATAAATAGACCTGGCCTAATGAAAGATGCAGTGGTGATATCCAGGGAGATGACATGCTGCTACATTCCCAGCTCGGAGGAGACAAAGGTAGGAGAAGCAGCAGTTCACAGCCAGCCTGGACACCACAATGACAAGTTGTCTTTAGAGGGGAAGGAGGAGGCTGGGAGTGAACCCTGGATACTGTCACAAAGAAGACAATTATAGAAGGCATAAGTTAAGAAGAAAAAACTTCCACTTAAAGACATCTGAGAACTGTTTGTTTATGCTTGTTCTTTTAGGTTCTTAGCATTTACAAATTACTTATAAAAGCTAATTATCAATAAAACATCTCAATTTACTTCAGGAAGAAACAGGTAGAAGACTGTCCACAAGCTGGTGATTTGTGTAGCTGAATGACAGCTACACACTGGTCCTTTTGAGATTATACTTCTGTGTATGTTGAACACATTCACTGATTAACAAAAAAACCTAGAAATACATTTAAAAGAAAATAAAGTAAGTGAGACTGTTTACTTGCAACATTATGTTAATAAACTTTAAGCAAAGGTAGTAGATGATGTTTACATGATATGTGCCCATCTCTTTTCTAAGCCACTTAGATCTGGAAGCTGAAATGTAGCCATAGTCTCGCTGTAAGACTCGTTGGCCAGTGACTTCACCTGAAATGCCTCTTCAACATTAAGGGACAATGACCGCAGAATTGTCTCATAGGGAAGAATCACTCTGTGTATGTAATTATCTAGAGAGAACATAGACCACACAGTAGTGATTACCAAGAAGTGAGTGTGAGAGAGAGAGCCCTCCCCAGGCCTGGGTCCCCAAACTCTCACTGAGGCTACCTCGAGATAGTAACAACACAGTGAGAAGAGCACAAACTGCATTCAAAGGAAAATGCTAGCACCAGAGTTGCAATACACAGGCTAGTCCTATACATTTGACAATCATGAGTAAAATACCATCCAACAAAATCCAATATAAAAGGAGTTACATATTGTAAGAAAATAAGCTTTATTCTGGCAATATAACACTAATTAAATAGTATCAAAATGTGTTGATGAACTCAAGACATTTTCAAAGATTTTTTTTTTAAAAATCAACAGATAAAAATAGGTAGAAAACATCTATAATAAATAATGGAATAAAATAACACCCCTTCTTAACCCCACCAATATCTTCAGCAAACAGAACAAAGAAAATAAGCCATCATCCTTAACCAGTTATCATTTATGAGAAGCCTGTCACACATGCTTTTATTTTTTTATTTAAAACTTGAGTAGCTTAACCATTAAAGACCATAAAAAGCATGCCTGCTTCCATTGCTGGCACACTAAACATTTCAGGGTTTAACCAAGGCAGTAAATACCAAAGACCAGAATAAACATCAAGAGGCTAAGTCCACCACCTAGAGAGCCTACAAATTACTCAAGAGTTCTGCTGTGTAACTGTCTGCATGCTCACTTTGTCAGCATAATTAATGTCTCTATACATCAAGTGTGAAGGTGCCACATGAGGCCATTCTGAGGAGTAGCAGGGACTCCATGGACCCTGGAATTAACCTAAAACATGATGTGCAAAGATCTAGAAAGAAACTCCAAAGCCCAATTGACCTGCGTAAATGTAGAAAAGGCATGCTATTTTTGAAGAGAAAAACTAAAGATTGAAAAGGCATGGCTTTCCTCAAACTTATCTATATATTCATGGAATGTAGCAAAAACCCTAACACTTTTTGTTCCTTGATAGTCTGGTTCCAAAATCACCATAAAATGGTAGAGTGGAACAGAAGGTTACAGGTATTTTGAAATAAATATGAAATGAAAATTTGCAGTACACGGGTTTAAGGATATGGCAGCAGTAGGCATTTATAACCTACCTATACTTGAAACATGAAAAATAAAATTAGAAGATACAAAAGAAAATCTTTACAGGCAGAATTCTCAAAGCAGAATTCCTCCTGCCCCAAATAAAAGATGACCTTAATTTACATCTGAGCTGAACTGTATTCCAGGCAAACAAAAATGATCATAAACAATGTTTATAAGAACTTCAGCTTTACTGTAACCTTATAGGCCCATCATAAATGTAGTCTTTGGTTATCCAAAACACCATTATGCAGTGGAAGGGTTTTTTTAAGTTCAATTTATCTGATTAAGTGTTGGAGAGATGGTTCAGCTATTAAAGGCTACAGTCACAACCAAATGGACATTAGATATGCTTAAGATTATTGAAAGTGAGGGCCCTGCAGCACTTTCTATTTATCTCACCTGTTGTAATATCTCTTATCCAAAATCAATTCTGTAGTGTTTACAAGTCTACTTTTTTTTAAAGATTTTATTTATTATTTATACAACATTCTGCTTCCATGTACATCTGCACACTAGAAGAGGGCACCAGATCTCATAACGGATGGTTGTGAGCCACCATGTGGTTGCTGGGAATTGAACTCAGGACCTCTGGAAGAGCAGTCCGTGCTCTTAACCTCTGAGCAATCTCTCCAGCCCCCACCCAAGTCTACTTTTGAACCTTTTGTTTCATTTTAGACATCAAGCTGAGCCATTTTTCGAAAATGGCTTTGGGCAAAAATGTCACCTCTATGTAAATTTGTAGATCCCTCCCCCTGTCTAAAATTTAATTCATTCTGTCTTCTGGAATAGCCACCAACCCAGCCAACTTAATTCTTAAGAAAATATGTGGTGGTACTTAACCTCCCGCTACATGTAGTCCATTCATACATCTGAAATCACATCTTTCTTTTCTCCTCCCCAGGTATGGAGCAGTTTCTGCAGGAATGCTATGTGCCCTTACCACCTTGTCCCAGCAGCTAGAGAATGAAAATGCTGTGGATGTCTTCCAGGTGGCAAAAATGATCAATCTTATGAGGCCTGGAGTATTTACAGACATTGTAAGTAGTTTGCATGTGTGTCAAACCTGTCAGATGATCCTCAGATCTGTACTACAGACCAGGGGTTCTCCACTATGGGTGTTGACCACGAGACAGCTGGCAATATCTGGAGACTTACTGTTTTTCACCACTGGACAGAGGTTCTGTGGCATTTAGTGTGTAAAGGCCAAGCTCACCATGCACAAGATAACCCTTGCCAACACGGAAATATCTACCCCAAAATATCAGTAATGTAGTTTAAAAAAAATTCTACTCATGAGTAGAGTGTCTTATGAGCCACCATCACTGAAACAGGTTCTGTGCTAAGACCAGAGGATATGAAGAAGGCATAGAGCTCAGTGATTCAAGTGGTTGCTTTTAAAGTTGAATAAAAATTGTTGCTATTCTTGTCTCTCTGGGCATGGTTTTTAGAAGTATGTTTTTGAACAGTATTTGCATCTTTGATAAAATGTCTAACCAGTTATTCACACCTGTCTTCCAGGAACAGTACCAGTTTGTCTACAAAGCAATGCTCAGCTTGGTCAGCACTAAAGAAAATGGAAATGGCCCCATGATGGGGGACAAAAATGGTGCTGTGCTAACTGCAGAAGAGTCAGACCCCGCTGAGAGCATGGAGTCTCTGGTGTGACCGGACCCCTGGACGGGCACTTAATTTGTAAACTTCTGACACTTGTAAAGACAGAACTTTTTTGAGGCCTTTTTTGCCAGACTCTAGGTTATACAATAACCCAGTTACTTTTTTACACTGATAAAAGTTTTGATATTTATTTTTTGCCATTTTATGTCTTAATGGTATCCTACTGAGCATTTGCACCTGTTCATTTCACACAGTGAAACGCAACTTTACCTAGTTTGCACTATATGATCAGTGTTACTGCCTATAATCTAATCTACAGCAAACCCTGATGTGACATTCCATGACAACATACATGCTACTATTTAGTTCTGTGCAGTGAAGGTCTTTGTTATGACAGTGAATCTCAGTTTTGTTATTATTCTAAAGCAATTGCATTTTCCTAGCAGGCAACACTGTACTTTTCTCAGTTCCCCTCTATTTTTTTTTCTAGGCACTGTTCAATACTATATGCCTTCTGTTACCATGGAGTGGATGGGCATTGTTTCCTTTTACAGGGCAGGAGGTTAATGGGAGCCCATAAGAAGTCTGATAATGTCCATTCCATTTGTCATGGTTGAGGGATCCACTAAGAAGTTAAGAGGGCTTAAGAGTTGCTTCATGTGAACATCTCTTATTAGTTACCGAGTTATATTCACAGTTGAAATGTGTCAAAATAAAGAATCATTCTGTATTACAGATTTCACAGTAGTTATGTGGACAGTGTGTGTTATTTCCATTTTGACTCTCTGAAGTAGCTACACCCTAAAATAGGGGCTGGCTTTTATAAAGGAAAGGTGGCACTATTTCATGCAGTTTACTTATGACCCCTTTAGTTAACCCCACTAAAACTTTTTGGTATCTAGTACCATACCTCACAGTAGCTACAGCAACGGAAAATAATAGGTATTTAAACTTTCTTCCTTTATTTTTTTTTTTGCCAAATGTTTCATAATAAATCTCTTAATTACATAATACTCTACTTAAGATTGAATTTGAAATATATTTGAGACCAAATTCCTACAGATGAATCAGTCTTATTTGGAGAGATAAATTTGAGTCTTAAAGAGAAAGTTCAGTTTTTGAATGAAAGGTAACGACGTCTCCATTTTAGAGCAGGTTTTGAGGAGAGTTGTGGATATTCACGAGCAGATAGATGCACAGCAGTAAGAGCTGACAGTGTTCGGTAGTAAGCCCTAGGTCCAGGTGGAGCTGCTTGTGACCCATGTAGTACATAATGGGAAAACTGGAAGCATTACTAAGAAGTTTCATTTGAGTTGGTTTAAAACAAAACAATACCCATTAAACTATTCACCAAAATCTGTATCTTCCTTTTCATGTCTCCTTTTGAAGGTCAACTTCTGTCAGACTTGAAATCATCCCCCAAGATTGAACCCCCATGAACAATGGGGTTTGGCTTCCTTATTATTCCAGTAAGCTTTACGATGAGGCCATGTGGCTGCTGTCACTGTTGAGGCAGCATTGCAGTGGGAATGTGGCTTTGTTCTTCTTGAGTTGTTTGTCTGAAACTAGTCACAGAAGTGCTGGGGAACCAGAGCTGTTAAGGAGAGGGTCCCAGGCCAAGTTAAGAGTTTCAGTGCATGAGCCAGGCCTATGAAGATAATTTGTGCAGACTAACCTAAGCTTTTGAACACACAGAGAACTGAGAGTCTGTCTTTCAGGAATGGTGACCTGCTAAGCAGAGTCTGTAAGGTGTCTGTGCTAGATAGCACCCTAGGCACATTTACCACACACACACACACACACACACACACACACACACACACACACAGCCCCATCAGAGGTGTCACCCTGCACAATTCAAAGAAGGACTAACCATGGATACAACTCTCAGGGCTGAACGGAATACTGAAGGAAAAAGATTCAGATCACAGTAAGAATTAGAGATCCCTAGCCAGTTAAGCAGATTCTTTTTGCTGTACACAGATCTGATGCTCTTCAGTTAGATGCTCAGTGGCTCTGCCATTTGGGATTAACATTCAAGTTGGAGTTCATGGTCTCCCAATTTTCTCTTAATAAAAGTAACTGTTTAGAAGACAAATAGCAAGTATTACTTTCTGTGCTATTCACACAGGAAATTCAATTTATGGAATTACATGCTCCCCACAATTCTGGGACTATCTCTTACACAAGTGAGAGAATAAGGAGGAAAGGGGGGTGAAATAAGTAGGACAGAAATAAAACCAAGGTGGGTTGAAAGCTCTCTGTGGGAAGCCTACACATCCATCTTACTGGACTATGAGCAGTTGCTAGGTGACCATTTTGCCAAAATGGTCCACACATCCTTCACTGAGGAGAGTTACTTTCAGCCATCCTCAGTCCTCACTTTCACCACAATATGTGTCTTCACTGTTCTTTGCTGTTGGCAAAAATATTTTGCATCTTTCCAGAGGCAGAGAGTTCCAAAGATGTTTTCTTTGAGACATAAGCGCATTGCTTAGGTACATACTAAGGGTATAACCACTTACAGTCAAGGGGAAGGGATACAGCTATTGCTAAAGCTAATGTGCAAGTTCCTAAAATAAGCTGTTTGCATGTGTGATTTGCCTCTAGGGCACAAACCAAACAAAGCTGACTTGTAAAAATTAGATCAGGTGGACACGCTGGACATCAAAGATGTATTAGAGACATCAGAACAGTTTCTTGTACCCCAAACTATAATACCATCTTTAATGTTCCTTTTTTAAAAGTTACCTTCTGAGTTTTGAAACTATTTGAGAGCCCGTTTTGAATAGAAGAGTCCAGCAGGGTCAAAATGAAGTTATAGTGTTCAAGATGAAATAAGGATTATGGTGTCCAAGGTCTGGTGGGTAGTTTTTACCCCAGAGTGACAATGAAATCAGTAAATAACCTTAATTGTCGTATAATGACACAGCACAACTGCCTTCTCATGACTTTTCTTAATTGCATATATACTATATTTAAAAGTAAAAAGTAGATACCAATTTACCAAAGATACACATTACTAATTCTAAGCAAAAAAATAGAAACCCAAACACATCGTAATTTAAGAAAAAAATAATCAAAATGTAGTTGTCTTAAGGCTTTTGCAGTTACATTGGAAAATGCATTTTTCAAATCCTATGTCCTAAAATTTCTGTTCAAATGGTGCCAGTCAATTTTTATATGAAGGGAAGAATGCCTGCTTTTTTTTTTCATAGCAGCTGTAATTTCACATAACCCTTTGCACTTTCCCTTAGTTACCACTTAACACACAATATTGGCTTTATTAACACACAATATTGGCTTTATTTATCTCTAGAAAGAAGGCATGGTAAATAGACGAAATTATAATGACATTTGGCCTCTACTTTTGTCTTAGCTGTTAAAATGTTTTTAGTATTTTTGTTAAATATTTGCAAAGGGAAGCATTTTCTACAGAGGATAATTAATTTCAAGAAAAATATCTTGAGTTTTAAGAAATAAACATCTCCAGAAAAGGAGACAGTCAATTTTATAAAATGTCGTAACTCTCCAACATTTGGGGTAGTGACTCCTTTTTTGTTAGGACATTTGAAACTAGCAAGCAGCCATTGTTTCTACAGAGCCCCACTTTCATGTCGACTCGTGTTTGTTTCGCTTCATTTTCAAATAGCTAAAATCATTAAAATTGTAAATATTTTGTTGCTTGAGTAAGCATCTTCTTCGAACTTTGTATCTATGGTATATAATCATAGAATTTTATATTTTCATATAAAGCTAATTTTTTTCTAGTTTCAACTACGTCATAGTTTTCGGTTTTGTTTTGTTTTTGTGGTGGATATGTGAACTTACGTGTACTGAAGTAGCAAGAACCATCTTTGCATTCCAATTGAATCCAACCTGTGTTCTTCCTTTGAGGCAGTGATTGTGAAAGTCGGGTTTTCTTTTTAATTCCATTGACCATTAGTGCAAAAGCAATTAGACATGACTAGTCACTGAATACATTTGTCACATTGACTCATTTTGGAAAAAGTGGATTTTTTTTTTAAAGATTTGTTCCGTGGGGACGGGGGTTTTATAACCTGAAATTTTCCCTTTTTCCTTCTGTTTTAAACTATATCAAATCATTCTATTATAGTGTTATTTAATATGTAAATTGTATTGCTATACATAAAATAAAGTATGGTTTTTGATGTACTTGGTAGTATTGAGCATTTCTATGAGAATTAGATCCGGCTTTCCTTTGTAAGTAAGTCACACTAACACTCAGTAGCCCTCCATCACAGTGTTCACTGTAGTAAATGAATGTTAGCAGTCACCTTTACAAGCAAAGCGACATGCTCTTGCCAAACTGATTCCTGATATTCTTCTTCCTTTCACCCCAAGAAAACAAGACCAAGTCTCACCAGTGTCAAACAGCCTCTGCTTTGTGATTGTCCCTCTGGCATCTCAACCACACTGGGGACAATTTCCTATCTTAATGTTTACTGACTAGTATAAAGGGTGGGTCACAGCAAGACCTTTGTAGAAACATGGAGTAGACATAGGATCAGTACAAGTTCTTCTATGTCAGGACATGGCTTCTTAGTTTACCATTCTGTCTCCATCCCCCAACGAGCGCGTGCACACACACACACACACACACACACACACACACACACACCTGTCCTTAAGAATGCGTCTCTTCCTAAAGTTATACCCCTGGTGACTCTAGTACACTGTACCGGTGTATCACAAATCAATTAGCTATATAGATCCTGGTCAGACAACAGGAACATTTTATTTGACCTAATTTTTTTTGTAATTCCTAATAGTTACCAACATTTAAAAATACATACTTTTTACATTCAGATTTCAAGCTCCCTTTCAAAACTGGGTGGTGGTATGGCAGCAGGCTCACTGTCTGCCACAGCCATATGTCTGGTCCCCATTGGTCATGTAACTAACCTTTTTAGGTCTGGTGAGCAGCTGCCTCTAAACTATACAGTCAGAATCCCAGGGCCATTTTCACCTCAGGTTGGTAAACCAGCAATCAAGAGCAACAGCAGAAGCATGCGTATTGACCTCCCATCATTCACACCCTGCCAGTCAGAGCCCAGTGGGTTCCCACACTCTTGACTCCCTTGGAGTCAACCCAAAATGATACCATTAAGTAAGACATTGTGACTTCAGAAATAGTTCTATCGATTGTCCAACTCCATGGCTTTGATTGTACAGAGTATATCTCTAGACTAGGAAGCTTCATTTCTGTTACTAAGAATTGGGGAGGGGATGCTATAGTAAAACTCTACCTTTTTACACACTAAATGTGAAATTTCAATGATTTAGGAACAAGTCACAGAGATGGAACTAAGGGCATAGGTTCAAGTTGGGTGTCATGGGTGATAATCTTAGCTCTTGGGAGGAAGAGATAGGAGGATCCAAAATTCAAGGTCATCCTTAGCTATACGTGTTAATTTAAGTCCAGCATGGTTACATAATACCCTTTCTCAAAACCACAGACTCCAAGACAAATAAATGAATGAAATACTAGCTTTACTTTATATATCCTATATTAAAGGTAAAAACTAACAAGTTAAAAATAGCTTTTGTAGTTATGACACTTCATTTACAAGGAAAATAGTAAGAGCTGCATTTTATCTTATGTGCTGCTTAAAAACTAAGAAATTAACATTACCAATATGGCCTATGGTGTAAAGGCAGACTTGTGCAACAATCCAGTCTCATGTTCTAAACTGCCCATTTCCAAGCAGTTGCTGAAATGCAAC